GTAATCAAGATAGTGTGGTATTGGCTCTCGGATATTCAATGGAATAGAACAGAGAGCCAAGAAAAACACATACATGGTCCCTTGGTTTCCAACAAAACTATAAAGGCAATTCAGTCAGAAAAGTTTAGTCTTTTCAACAAATGGTCCTGGAACCAGTGGTTATCAAATCCCAAAATTCAAAATTAATGTTGATCTATACTTTGAACAATACCCCCAAATTAACTCAAAATAGATTATAAAACCAAATGTAAAAGCTAAAGTTATAAAATTTCTAGAAAGAAAACAGGAAAAAATCTTTGTGATCATGAGTTAGGGAATGATTTCATAGATATGATACCAAAAACAAGATCTATTAAAGAAGAAATTGATAGGGCACCTGGGTGACTCAGTCGGTTAAGCATCTGCCTTCAGCCCGGGTCATGATCCCAGGGTCCTGGGATCCAGTCCTGCACTGGGCTCCCTGCTCAGCAGGGAGTCTGCTTCTCCCTCTTCCCCTTCCCCTCCCCCTTTCTCATGATCTCATGATCTCTCTCTCTCTCTCTCACTCTCTCTCTCTCAAATAAATAAATAAAATCTTTAAGAAAAGAAGAAGAAATTGATAAACTGGACTTCACTAAAATTAAGAATTTCTGCTCTTCAAAAGACATTATGAAGAGTCTTTTGGAGTGGGAGAAGATACTTGCCAATCTCATAACTGACAGAAGATTCATATCCAGAATATAAAAAGAACTCTCAAAACTCAAAGTAAACAAACAGCCCAATATATAATTGTCAAAAGTTTTAACAAATCAGCACTTGAAAAGATATTCAATACCATTAGTCATTAAGGAAATGTATATTAAAAACACAATGAAATACCACTACACACCTATTAAAATGTCTAAAATTTAAATGTCTTATCTCTACCAAATGTTAGCAAGGATGTGGAGGAATTGAACTCCTGCTGCCAGAGGGAAAGTAAAATTGTATAAACAGTTTGGAAAGCAATTTCACAGTTTCTTAAAAAGTTAAACATATGACCCAGCCATTTCACCATTTGCTATTTCCCCAAAAGAAAGCATGTCTATGAAAAGGGTTGTACATAAATGTTCACAGAGGCTTTATTTGCAACACCAAAACAGGAAAACAAATTAAATACTCATCAACATGTGCTTGAATAAACAAATTGTGGTATAGGGGTGCCTGGGTGGCTCAGTTGGTTAAGCGTCTGCCTTCTGCTCAGGTCATGATCCCAGGGTCCCAGGATCAAGCCCCTCATCGGGCTCTCTGCTCGGCAGGGAGCCTGCTTCTCCCTCTGCGTGCCGCTCCGCCTACTTGCATTCTCTCTCTCTCTGACAAATAAATAAAATCTTTAAAAAAAACAAATTGTGGTATATCCATACAATGGAATACCACTCATCAATAAAAAGAATTAACTATTGATATACACAACATGGATGAATCTCAAAATAATAATGCTGAGTGAAAGAGACCACATAGAAATAAGAACTTATTATATATTTTGATTTATATAAAACTCCAGAAACACAAACCAGTATTTAATAACAGAGAGCAGGCCAGTGATTGCCCATGAATGGGGCCTGATGGGGAAGGACATGAGGGAACTTTTGGGGGTAATGTATTTGTTTATTAACTTGATTGTGGTGATGGTTTTATGGGAATATACATATATCCAACCTTATCAAATAATATATTTAAATATGCTCATTTATTTTATCTCAATTATACCTCAATTAAACTATTAGAAATAAAACCTAAAAGGGAAAGGAAAGTTCTGATAAGGTTAAGAACAAGAAGCTCTAGGAACACAGAGGAAGGACTCTAAATCACAGCCAGAGGGGTGGATAGATTAGATGTAGATACCATTATCATACCCAATTTACATACGAAGTGACTGACTGTCAAAGAAGTTGTGTAATTTGCTCAAGGTCACACAATAAACCAGGGGTGTGGCCATTTTTCAAACCTAGGACTATGTAATCGCAGTGCCTTCTGCAGTTCATATTACCCTTGTTTTAAAATGTAGGTTTTATTATCATTCAGGGATATTGAGGCCAGCAGATCAAGAGATGATTGTCATTGGAAAGACGGTCTATCGCTCACAGTTCCCAAGATGAGGGGGTACACCATGCCAGGCAGGGCCACAGGGAAGCACCAGAATCAGTCAGGAGAGAGGTCGAAGCCCTGGGCGAGAGCCTCCATTATGGTTTTTGCAGAAAGGAACAGGCAAGGCAGGGTAAGCAGGTTTCAGTGGGCTGTGGGGCACAGAGGCTGTCCTCAGTTGTCTGATACCTGACCTCTGGGTGATTAGGGCAGAAGAATAGTGCCCCAAATGGGAGAGAGCCCTGTAAAAGCCTGATAAAGGAGGTGGTTTGGGTAGGAGTTTGGATTGGCTGGTTTGCATATCGAAGTATTTTTTCTAAAAATGAGCTAACCCTGGGAGGGCAGTCCCTTTCAGTGTCAGCAGGGCCCCAGGATGGCAAAGCATCAGAATAAAAAAATATGCTTAGGGCGCCTGGGTGGCTCAGTTGGTTAAGCGACTGCCTTCGGCTCTTAAATGTGCTCTCTCTCATTCTCTCTCTCTCAAATAAATAAAATCTTTAAAAAAAAAAGATATGCTTAAATACAACCCTGTGCTCACTGTTATGACATCATCTGTTTTATTTTTTTAAAAGATTTTTTATTTGTTCATTTGAGAGAGAGATTGCACAAGAGCATGAGCAGGGGGAGGGGCAAAGGGAGAGGGAGAAGCAGACTCCCCACTGAGCAGGGGGCCCGAGGATGTGGCGCTCAATCCCAGGACCCCAGGATCATGATCTGATCTGAAGGCAGACACTTAACCGACTGAGCTACACAAGTGCCCTGACATCATCTGTTTTAACTCACAACCACCAGCAACATTTCCTGGATTCTGCTTGCCCATAAATTCTTTAAAAATCTATTCAATATAGTATTAGAACTGGCTATGTATTTTGCAGAGCACAGTACAAAATGAAATATGGGTTCCCTTGTTCAGAAAGCATTAAGAATTTCAAGACAGTGGCAGCACATCATTAAACCAAGCAGGGGCCTGTGGAACTGCACTGGTCACATGCCACGAAGCCAGCCCTATACAGCATAGTAGTTGATCAGCAGGCAACTTCCAGGGAAAGACTCCAGAAGGTCTTTCTGGTATTTCCTGGTTCCTCCCCACAATGGAAGCCTGAGGTAAAAAGTCAGCCCAGCTGTGAGTGATGCAGGACCCTGAGATAAGCTTTTTACCTCCCTTTTGCCAGTTCATGGTTTCTGGAAATTGGATGCCACTTGGATGCAGGGACACAAAGGGAAGCCACATCTTTTCACTATACTAGAGAGGACACAGGAATTCTCAATCTGAGGCCAGTAATATTGCTGTCCTGACTCCCTGATTCTAGGGAGATTAATCTTCCCTGCACAGTAACTTCCTACTATGATCATTTTTAATGTATCTTTGAGTTAATGTGTCTGAGCTGGAAATTTTTACCTTCCATCTGAAGTTTGGGTGGAGAGAGTAATTTTACACAATACAAAGCCAACACCACTTCTCATAATAAACAACAGCAAATGACTGCGTCCAAACTATCACTCTACACTTGGCAGAACAGTAGTACTCTGTATAGGAGCATATCATGCAGTTTATTTCACAAAGAAAGTTCGTAACTTTGGAAAGGACCATGACAGAGTCCACAACTCAACAAGTATTTCCTACATATTATATCTTATGTAGCCTCTGTTCCTAAATTTCCTAATCTGTAAAAATGGGCTCAACATGAGCACCTATTTCCTAGGGCTGTTCCATGGATTAAGGGTATATGTATAAATATTAAAACAGTACTTAACATATAAATATATGATGATCATGATCTGGTATATCTGCATGCCATGTAATGTGCAAAAGCAACTTATACTCAATAATGTTAACCCCAGGTGTATTCTATTCATCCATTAAATTAATTAAGATGCAAATGATGCCTGGAGGAAAACTACTCTCCTCATAAGCATTTATATAACTACTTCAAGTTCAAATTTGCTAAATTCCTAGAGTTTGTACCTTGGAAGCTAAACACTTTGTTTTTTATATTTCTATGCAGTGACTTCTGGTGTTGGCAAAACGTTGCTCAATAGTCTGTGGAAATGTGTTTATATTATTGAGTACAATAATAATTTGTCCTTCCTGTTTTTGAAATGGCTAATTTGATTTTTTTTAAAGATTTTATTTATTTGTCAGAGAGAGAGAGAGCACACACAAGCAGGGGGAGCGGCAGGCAGAGGGAGAAGCGGACTCCTCGCTGAGCAAGGAGCCCGATGTGGGACTCCATCCCAGTCTGTGATCAAGACCTGAGCTGAAGGCAGACGCTTAACCGACTGAGCTACCCGGGCACCCCCCCACCCTTTTTAAAGATTTTATTTATTTATTTGTCAGAAAGAGAGCGCATACAAGCAGGGGGAGTGGCAGGCTGAAATGGCTAATTTGATTTTTATAAAGATTTTATCTATTTGAGAGAGAGAGAGAGGGCACGAGCAGGTGGGCAGAGGGGTCAGAAATATCTGGGTACATGATCATAATCCTAATCAGAATAAGAACCATCTTGGGTGCCTGGGTGGCTCAGTTGGTTAAGCATCTGCCTTCAACCCAGGTCATGAGCCCAGGGTCCTGGAATCGAGTCCCGACTCGGGCTCCCTGCTCAGTGGGGAGTCTGCTTCTCCCTCTACCCCTCCCCCCTGCTCGTGATCTCTCTCTCTCTCTCTCATGCTCTCTCTCTCTCAAATAAATAAAATCTTAAAAAAGAACCATCTTTATCAGTCACTCACTGTGTGCCATACACTATTAGAAGCACTTAACGCATACCACCCATTTTAATCCTTACAATAATCTAGGAGGCATGTATTTTTATTATTCCTAATTGACAAATGAGGAAATTTAGGATCCCAGGTTGACTAATTTGTCCAGAAACACAATGAGTCAATAGGAAAACCAGAATTCAAACCGAAGAGCTCTGACTCCAGAGCCAACCCCTACTAGTGATGAGATCTCGAGTCACAAAATTGCTCTGAGCATCAATTTCCATATCCGTAAAATGGGAATAAATGTAGGCTCTATGACACCAGGAGGTTGTGAGAATTGCTGCAGTAAAATTGTCTATTTCTTGTTCCAGTCTTTTGTCATCTGTAGAATTATTCAAGAATAAGTGTGGTGGGTGAGGTAATCAAGAGACCACTGGCTGACACACGAGGTGGTCCCGGGAAATCAGAGGCTCCTCACCCTCTCCCCTGTCCTTAGAATGTATGTTTTGCCAACTATTCCTACAACTGGAGCCATTTTCAAGAATGCAGCCTTGGAGAGCAACGTGCTGTTGAGACGATCCAGTCAGTATACATGACTGAACCCAGTTCAGGCCTCTGTATAAACTTTTAAGATTTTTGCGGGCAGGTGAGGAGATTTACTCATCTTGCGGCTGCCCAAGGCAAGCCTCATATGTAAGTTCCCTTGCTTATTAAGACTGCCACCTACCAATCTGGAGGGGTCTTCCTCTCTATCCTCTCTATCCTTGCCTTCTGTGTACAGGGGCCAGTTTTGTGAATCAACAAAGTAATATGACAAAGTAAAAGCTTTTGAAATGTGTTCCCAAAAATATTTCCTTTAGTTATAAAGATTTTTAGTGGCATGCCCAATAGGTTTTTGTTCTGATTCCTAAATGTAGTTCTGTTTTCCTTTTATTCCAGTTTAGTACAGATGATGGTTCCCATTGTGTTCCTTTGAGAGCTATGAAAAGGTTGACTATACACATTGTTATCAGCAGACACTGGGGCAACACCTAAGGAGGAGGTGGCATATTTTTCAAGGAGTAAGGACACTTGGTGGTAGAGGTTCTGGGAAGAGGTGGCAGCAGTGGCTATATAGTTTTTCAGTCTCTCCAAACACAGAAAAACAGAGCAACCAGAGAGCAAAAGCAAAATGTGTAGATAAGATTTTCAGCAAATCTAGGTTACTAGGGATGCCTGGGTGGCTCAGTGGGTTAAACTCCTGCCTTCGGCTCAGGTCATGATCCCAGTGTTGTGGGATCGAGTCCCACATCAGGCTCCTTGCTCAGCGGGGCGCCTGCTTCTCCCTCTGCCTGCTACTCCCCCTGCTTGTGCTCTCGCTCTCTCTGACAAATAAATAAAGTCTTAAAAAAAATCTAGGTTACAAGACATCCCTTAAAACCCCAAAATTCAAGTAGATGAGGACAAGTCACCAACAGTCGTATTACCTACATGGTACCAGTGTCTGTGCAGGAAGAGAAAGAAGTGATGGAATAGCATCTCAGTAACTGGATAATAGAACCACAAACTAACCAACTCACCAGAAAGAGCAGCAGAGGCTCACATAGGTTTTTGCCCTTTTCATATCAGGTGAGTGCAAGGGGCCCAGCTCAAGAGGCACTAAATGTGGGGCGCCTGGGTGGCTCAGTTAGTAAAGCGTCTGTCTTTGGTCAGGTCATGATCCCATGTCAGGGTCCCTGCCCAGCGGGGAGCCTGCTTCTCCCTCTCTTCCCTGCTTGTGCTCTATCTCTGCCTATCTATCTCTCTCAAGTACATAAAATCTTCTAAAAAAAAAAAAAAAGAGGCACTAAAGGTGCTAGAAGCATGTGAACTCTCAAAACTGACACTTCAGGACTCTTGACAGGAGCCCACAATTATGAGAAATGGGAGGTGGAATCACAATTCAATCGGAAATGAACAAGAGAGACTAAAGAAATGAGAAGGTTTAAAATTGTTCTGTACACAGATGTCCACACTTGTGGCTATTTTGAGCACTTGAAATGTGGCTAGTCAGAACTGAGATATACTGAAAGTGTAAATTATATACCAGCTTTTGAAGATTTAGTAAAAAATAAAATATCTCAATAATTTTTATATTGATTACATGTTGAAATAATATTTTGGATAGATGGAATTAAGTAAATTATTAATGTCATGTGTTTCTTCATACATTTTTTATTTCGCTAGTAGAAAATGGTAAATTACATGTGTGGCTAGCATTCTATTTCTACCGGCCAGAACTCCCTTTTACTGGAGTTTGATATGCCTTTCACACATCTCAAATGGAAAAGTCAATTAGGTAGCTGGATACACATGACTGAAGTACCAGGGAATAGGTGGGAATATACAATATTTTGATTTACCAGCTTAGAACAATATTTAAGGACATGAGACTAGATGGGATCTCCTAGGAAGTAAATGTATATAGGAAAAAAAGGCAAAAAACTGAGGCCTTGGATATTCTAATACTTAGAGGTGTGGAAAATGAGAAAAGTCTAGGAGAAAGTGGGGTGAACACAAAGAGAACAGTCTTTAAAGACGAAGGAAGAACATGTATCAAAGAAAGAGGAGTGATCAATAGTGTCAAATGGTGCAAAAGGTCAAGTAATAGGAAATCTAAGAATTATACTTTACCAGGTGCTTGGGTGGCTCAGTTGGTTAAGCATTCGCCTTTGGTTCAGATCGTGATCTCGGGGTCCTGGGATCGATCCCCACGCCGATCACCGTGCCTCCGTGTCGATCCCCGCCAACACGATGATCCCCGAGTTGAGCTCCCTGCTAGGCAGGGAGCCTACCTCTCCCTGTCCCTCTGATCTCCCTCCCACACGCCCCTCCCATGTGCGCATGCGCTCTCTCTCCCGCAAATCAATAAAGTCTTTTAAAAAATTATCCTTTACATTCTGCCGTACGGAGGTCTACTGTGTGACGGCATTTGGTACTTCCATAAAGAGGAAGTATTAGAAGGACCTCTGGAGGGGCGCCTGGGTGGCTCAGTCATTAAGCGCCTGCCTTCGGCTCAGGTCATGATCCCAGGGTCCTGGGATCCAGCCCCGCATCGGGCTCCCTGCTCCGTGGGAAGCCTGCTTCTCCCTCTCCCACTCCCCC